AAAAATTAATATCATTTTTTAAATAAATCCATAAGTAATTTAAATAGATCAATATCATCAATTCATTATCTCTCATCAACTTATTTTATATTTGTACTGTTAGTTATTAAAGGTGTTTAAAAATTAGTTTGTAGTAAAAATATTGCGGTAAGAAATATGATATTATATATATTTTCTTAATAATAAAAATAATATAAAAAGTATAATTAATTATTGTAATTATTGAAATAATATTATTTTTCCTTAAAGAATTATAATAATTTAATTACTTGAAGTTATTTATTTTTCTTTAATTATTTTCATTTTATTCAATATAAATATTAATTATAAATATTCTGATTTTTCATCTATTAAATTATTATTCAATAAATTTATATATTAGATTAATAATTTAATAAAATATAAAAAATTTAATAATAATACTCATTAAACATATTATTCCCCTTCAAACAACAAAATTGACTCCACAGTTTTAATTGTAGGACGATTTAAAAAATTATAAGCCACTTCAGTCAACCCCCGAAAAACATAGTGATAGTCAACGTGAAGAGAAGAGAGAGGTAATGACGGCACTTCCTTCAAAAGCAAAGAAGAAGAAGAAGAAGAAGAAGAGGAGACGGGATAACGATTCAACGTACCGTGTTGAATTCTTTTGCTTTTCACCAAATGAACGTTGAAACCGCGTTAGCTACTTTCGTGGTCTTCTTGATGTTCGTATGTATCGCGAGTCAGCTTTGCCAGCCATCTGTTCTCTACCATTTTTCATGCTTCTCTAACTATTTAATTTCGACAGTTGAAAGAGTGTTTGGTTACCGAGAAAGCAGTGAAAATGGAAAGAGGCTAGAAGTTTCCTGCTTTTGATTCATTGCCAGTGAGAATTGTGCTACTTTTATTTGGTTATTTCCACATAATCTTCGGGTTGTAGAACTCAGTCAAGCAATTCAGGAGCTGTTCTCCGCTAGTTGAAAATTTGGCAGGTGATCATTGATAATCCGTGACCAATGAACTTGTCTATTCATATTCAACAAAGAGTAAAATCTTTGGGATGTAATACAGTTTTATTATGATTCTCTAAGCGGTTGAATCCGACTTTACACTGTTTCAGATACACACAGTAAAAGACAACTTTAGACCATAAACTTAGTTTCTTTCAATTACAAGCTTACGTGTCTGTCTTTTCTTTGTGTATCTATACACTAGTTAGCATTACTTGCAGTGCTGATTGCTTATTCCTTCTTATGTGCTTTTTATGGTATGTCCTTATGGTCGTTTGTTTTATCTTCGCTTTCTTTCTTTTCCAAAGCGATTTCATTTCTTTTTATTCTATCTACCTGTTCAGATGGGAGAAAACAAAAGTTTAGTTTCTAGAATCCAGAGTGGAAACATTAAAATCAAAATTTTGTGAAAACATAGGCAGTTTGATAGTCATAAGCAGCTCCAGAGGAAGTGGGATGGTTAATTTTAGAAATTTGTAAAAATCAAAGTTGGTGAGTTGTGGTTTCTGTGGGGCTGATGGTGGTTAGGTACTGATTTCAGAGGTTGAACGGGGCATCTGGTGCTTCTTGTGGTGCTGGTTAAGATATAGTACTTGTTAGAGCTTATAAGGAAAAGGTGAGAATTCGGCATGAGGGTGGAAATGTGAATTTGAAGTAATTTTGTTTTCGTGGTGAGGTTGATGGTTGGGAACAATTTGTTGATGGTTTTGTTGCAGAAACATTTGGATGATCTTTAGATCTTGAGTTTCTATTAAGGAGATGGTGGCACCAGCAACGTTGTTCTCATATTCAATTTAGCTGCTCTCACCACACCACTTAAGAAAACAAAGTTTTCCCTTGGCCTGGTGCTATTAGTATGTTTAGTTAAAGGTTCAGTCTTTTGTTTACTTGCTTCTAAATACATGGCGAATGTTGCTTCTGTCTTTTATTAACTACAAAACAAACACACAACTTGCAGATCCGGGATGCACTTATCTATGCTAGTTTACTCATATTCTACTTTTAATTTTTGAAGGGATGATTACAAAAAGCCATTTTTCATCCCAATTTGGAGATAGCCTCTCTATCCAATCATGTTTTCCCGTAAATAGATCTACGGCAAATTCATCAGTTAAATCTTTGGAGGGAGACGATGTAAACACAAATATTATACTCTCTGACGATGAAATAAGCCTCAATGATGCTGCGTCCCAGGGAATACCATATCATGCTGATCACGCATTTTCTTTTGGTGTTAATGCTTTCAATCAATCTAACTATTCATTTCAACAATTGCATAGCTCCAATATGACCTTTTCTGGACAAGTTCCTTATTTCCAGCCTCATCAAGATATTCCAAACTCAATAGATTTTTCACAAGTTGATGAAGGAGATGCTACGCAAGTCCTAAATTCATCCGTTTGGAGGTCTGCTTACGCTTTAAACAGTCAAATCCAACCAGCTATTAGGCAATTAATAAGAGAAACAGATGATGCATCTAACATTTTTCCACAAGCAGCAATGCCTCAATCGGTTGCAGATACTGGTAAGTGGATCTCTCGTCTTGTTGATTTGTTGTTCTCTGGTTAACCCATGTCGGTTCATATGAAAATGCATAGGCCAAGGTAATAGAGAGCTAATTTTACTGTGTTACTCATATATTGGTTTAGCATTAATTTCACTTATTTATTAGAATAAACCCAATCAATCATGTAATTTATCAATGAAGTTTTTATGGCTGTACTTATCCTGTTGGATTCATTGTTCAAAATCAGTATGCAATCAAAACAATGTTGGTTGAAACTTTTATAGCTTTACAGATTCAGTTGAAGTCATTATTCATAATTGATATTTTTCGTGCTTAGTAGGTATTGCTTTTATTGGGGAATATAGATAAGCT